TGTTAGCAGTGGATTTCTTACTTCACTCACCATAGAAAGTTCTCTTCTGTTTAAATTAGTAGGATAGCTGGGCACAGTGGCTCATGCCTATAATCGTAGCACTCTGGAAGGCTGAGGTGGGTGGATTGCCTAAGCTCAAAAGTTTAAGACAAGTCTGAGCCAGAGAGAGACCTGGTCTCTAAAAATAGCCGGGCATTGTGGCGGGTGCCTATAGCCCCAGCTACTTGGGAGGCTGAGGCAAGAGAGTTGCTTGAGCCCAAGAGTTTAAGGTTGCTGTGAGCTATGACACCACAGCACTCTACCAAGTGTGACAAAGTGAGACAATAAAGGGAGGGAGGGAGGGAGGAAAGGAAAGAATTAATAGGACACTGGCATGGCAAGGGGTAAAGAACTATGCTTTTCTATATATGATTTCCAGCCAGGCTCTCCTTCCTCAAGGGCCCCTCCCAGTACTTCAAGTATCATTGCTATCCATGCTCGATCTCATCCCTCTGTCTCTATAGTGAAATAGTTAATAGTCTCTGGGGCACAACATATTTTCCAAGACATTAATGACAAAAGTAGGCATTGTCATAAATAAGATGGCTATGGCTTGTCAAAGGATAGAGAAACAGAAATTATACGTGTGGTACCAAGCTTTCTCTTAGATCAGCGGTTCTCAATCTGTGGGTCATAACAAATGAAAATACATCCTGCACATAAGATATTTACAATACAATTCATAACAGTAGCAAAATTACAGTTATGAAATAGCAACAAAAATAATTGTATGGTTGGGGGTCACCACAACATGAGGAACTGTATTAAAGGGCTGCAGCATTAGGAAGGTTGAGAACCACTGACTTAGATGATCACATTAGTATTTCTGTGAACAAGAATCCAACATGAGTGAAGACTACACCTTAAAATGTATAGTGTCTATTAACACAGGGTGTCATATAAAAATCTAATTATTGACGGTGTCTCCATTCATTTTGTGGTCTATTACATTATATTTACCAGAAAACACTAATTTTTGAGTAAAAGGAAACGTTAGTAAACAACAGATGAAAGCCCACAGTTATACATTATAGGAAATGTCATAGGGAAAGAAGTCTATAGGTTGATTGAGTAAAATAAAATACCTGAAAAGTAGGCCAAGTACAGTGGCTCATGCCTGTAATCCCAACACTTGGGAGGCTGAAGTGGGTGGACTGCCTGAGCTGAGGAGTTCTTACAAGGGTACAAGTGAATCTTTCTAAGAGTAGAATATAAACGTCTTAACACAATAACTAAGAAAATGACATAAAGGCTATGTTAACCAGTTTGATGAAATATTTCAAATTGTATATGAAAACACCACATTGTACCCCATGATTGCATTAATGTACACAGCTATCATTTAATTAAAAAAAGAAAAAAGAAAAATAAATAAAATATAATTGCAAATTAAAAAAAATAAAATCAATTAATCAAAAAATAAAAAAGACTAGCCAGAGAAAGAGCAAGATCCAGTCACTAAAAAATAGCCGGGTGTTGTGGCAGGCACCTGTAGTCCCAACTACTTGGAGGGTGAGGCAAGAGAATTGCTTAAGCCCAAGAGTTTGAGGTTTCTGTGAGCAGTGACGCCATGGCACTCTTCCGAGGGCAATAAAGTGAGACTCTGTGTCAAAAAGGAAAATATCTGGAAAGTGTCTTTTTAAGGGGCACAGAGCATGACACATAAAAAAAGAGAAGAAAAGACGGTGCATAAGCAAAATGAGAATGAATGATCTACCTCTTGGACAAATCATACAGCCAAGGTGACAAACTCCTACTGCACTGACAATACATTACAAAAGAGTAAAAAGAAGCAAGCAGCCTTGATGATTCATGAATACATAACATAAAAGAAACTTAGCAGAACCGACTCCTCACATAACTAGGGGAGACATCATAAGCTATCTGAGAAACAGTCCTTCCCAGAGAATGTAAGTCTCACCAAGGTGGGAAAGGTAGGTAGTATGTTTATTGTTTAATCTATAGCCCTGAAATACCAGCCAAGGGTGGGGAACCTGTGGCCTCTTAAGGACACATGTAGCCCTGCAGATCCTCAAGTACAGACACTCAACTATATCCACACCTCACAATAAAATGTGGATTCAGTTAAAAGAATGCATTAAAAGATCCAGAAGGCCACATGTGGCACCAAGGCTATAGAGCCCCAGCACTCAAATGCGTATTTGCTGAATGAATGAATGAGGAATGAATAAATCACCAGATCTGGACATTTTAGGTTTGGAGCAGGGATCAGGGGTTACCATTTTTTATATATAAATTTAAAAAAAACTGTTTAAATGTATTATAATGTTTCAATGTATACCTAAAATGTTTCTATCCAACTACCTGGTCTATATTTCAGATATCCCTGTGAAGGCAAATAGTTATAGAATGGGGAGTTAAACAGTTGAAATATGACAACTCTGCCATTTTCCTCGATGTTTAAATTGGATTGCACTGCCATGTACAATTTTGGGGAAACATTTCAGTCCTATCAAAGCTTAAGAAAGAATAAATAGGATTTGTGGCATGGCATTTTTTAAAAACTTATTATGGATAAGTAGAAAAATGTACTGATACTGAAAACTTTATTCAATACAGTTGATCTGAGATCAACAATTTATCAGAGACTCAATATTCTGGCCCAGATGTCAGTTCTTTTACATAAGTAACACTATAATTTATCTAATGAGATGGGTTCAAAATTAGTCAGAAATAAGACAATTTAAATTCTTTTTTTTTGAGACAAAGTCTCCCTTTGTCACCCTCAGTAGAGTGCCATGCATCACAGCAACCTCAAACCCTTGGGTTCAAGTGATTCTCTTGCCTCAGGCTCCCAAGTAGCTGGGACTATAGGTAACCACCACAATTCCTGGCTACTTTTAGAGAAAAGGTCTTTCTCTGGCTCAGGTTGGTCTTGAACCTGTGAGCTTAGGCAATCCACCAACCTCAGTATCCCAGAGTGTTAGGATTACAGGCGTGAGTGACCATGCCTAGCACAACTTGAATTCTTTTTCATTTTTATTTTTATTTTTTTTTACAACTTGAATTCTTAAAGAATGCAAAGTGATTAGTGAAAATAGATACTGAGATACTAATAATGTAATCTATAATGTGATAACAACACACCATCAATCACACAACAGAATAGACCAAGAACACATATATTATTGAAACGGCAGCTTTCCACAGCCGGTTTGTTCTCTAACATTTTGTTAAAACTAAGATTACCCGATGGTTCACAAACACTCACAAAAGACAGAAAAGCAGATTTAACAGGAAAGGGGAAAAATGAGTTTACTTTTGGAAGTGTCAAAGATAGGTACCTGTGTAATATCTATGCAAAGAACCTGTGCAGAGATTCCAATATTGATTGCCTTGGCCTTTAGGGCCTAATGCCTCAACCAACTGACCCCCGATTGGCTATACATACATGATCATTATAATGTGTACCATGATATTAATATAGATAAAGAACAGAGGTGTAGTAGCCAACCAAATTTAAAACTCAAGAGAAGGTATATGAAGTAGAGACTTTTGGGTGTTGTCAGCAAACAAGTACTAGCAAAAACTACACAGGGTACTTCGACTCTCAGCCAGCCACGTTTTAATTAGAAATTAGTACCATACTTGCCATCTTGTTTTAACAATTAGAAAACTGGAAAATATACAAGAAACTACGTTTGCAGTCACTGAACAACAGACAACACAGGACTATGTTTCTGAAATAAAGGAAATAAGATAGGCCCTACCATTTCCACGGCTTGCCAAATGAAAAGCACTTTTTAGATGGTAACACACAGAGTGGGAACAAGATGAGCCTGAAGGTCTTGCTCAGTTGAAGATACAAAAATCAAAGTTCAGAGAAGCTTAAAGAAGACAGAAGTGGGAGATGTTTGGGTTTTAATCAATAAGAATGCAGAGAAAAAACAAGTCAGATCTTACTAGTAGAGCTAAGCTAATCAGAAAAGGATACTTTATGTCTGGCATAGTAAGGCTTTAAAAAGAAGCCTCAAAACATCAAACTGATCAACTGTCAAACAACTGCCAACAAAGCAAAGTGCAAAGCTCTTTAGAAGTAAACAAAATCAACACAAAAAATAAATAACAATGTCCAATAACCAAAAAAGATTACTAGAAATACGGAAAAGGGAAAATCTGACCCATAATCAGGATAAAAATAATCAACAGAAAAATGTAGAGAAAGAAGTGATGGAGAACAAAAGAATGTATTTTAAAAATGGGGAAAAATACTTAGCAAGAGCCACTGAAAGGTATAGTGTAAGAAGTTAAAACAGGCTCGGTGCCCATAGCTTAGTGGTTAGAGCGCCGGCCACATACACTGGAGCTGGTGGGTTCAGACCCGGCCTGTATCTGCTAAACAACAATGACAACTGTAACAAAAAATATAGCCAGGCATTGTGGCGGGAGCTTGTAGTCCAGCTACTTGGGAGGCTAAGGCAAGAGAATCACTTAAGCCCAAGAGCTTGAGGTTGGTGTGAGCTATGACACCATGACACTCTACCAAGAGCGACATAGTAAGACTCTGTCTCAAAAAAAAAAATATTAAAATGATAAGGAAACTGTTTTCATGAAAGCCATGTAAGGGGGATGTTTTATAAAGGAGGGAGCAGTAAGTATAGAGATCGAGTAATACAGACACTTGAAAATGTTCATGGAATTTGAAAAGAAGTTGCCTGGTATGTTTAGCCAGGCAGTTCCAGTGAGGAGACAGGGATAAGAACCATACTTCAAAAGGTTTATAGAGTGAACAAGATGTTTAGAAGAGATGACAGCCAAATATTCAAGGCAAGACTATCTTTGATCCAGAGTAGGCAAATTGGTAGACATTGTGCCTGTCAAAATAATTTTTAAAACTATTGTGAAACACTTATTGGCAATTTCTCCTTTTTCTTCCAGTTGCACTTCTTTCTGACACAGAGAAATACTCCCAGTAGGAATTATGACGGTAAAATTGTTACCAAAAAAGGCATTCAGCAGCTTCTGAACCTGAATATTGCTGCCCACAGTGCGGTACAAGCCCTCTGTCTTGATCCCTAGAGAAAGAAAATCCAGTCAGTTTTGTTTATATAGTTAGAGCATTCACCACCCCCAGGGTAGAGAAATTAGGTACTCGTACACTAGAGTCAGTTCACATAGGAAAGGTTCAACGTATTCTCTTCAAGTTCTCAAGCTCTCCCCTGTAACAGGGTAACAATCCTAAAGCATGTATTCAAATAATCCATCCTTTCATTAGGATTATATCTCTTTAATCTGAACAGAAGAAAACAAAGTCTATAGTAATTAGAATGATATGCTCAGGTAAGTGGCAGCCAATAGCTCAAAATGGTACAACCACATTAGAAAGAGGCTATGGAGTAACTGAAAAGACAAGAAATTTCAACCCTCAAGTGGCTTCCAAACAGCAGTGTAAAGGAAGAGCAGGCTGGAGTAAGGTAGTTGTGACAAGAAAGGCTAAGAAAGACTAAAGAAACATGAAAGAAAAAAGAAGCTTGGCTTATACATTATACTTGCCCACATTCTAAATATCCTCAGAGGGGAAAGCAGAAAGCAGGGAGAGTTATCAACTAGAAAGAATGCTGATACCACGTTTGCCTGACTTTAGTTTTGCTCCCATCGATTTTTTTTTTGGGGGGGGAGGGCAGTTACTGGCCAGGGCAGTGCTTGACCCTGCCACCTCCAGCCTATGGAGCCAGTGCCTTACTCCTTTGAGTAAGGTGAACAGATTTTAACACTGGTAAAGCAGGACACCATTGACGGGGGGAAAATTGTTGTTAATTAAAAATTTGGTCTATGTGGAGCAACAAAAATTTTCACAGAATGCAAAAATAGTATTGTAATATATTTTTTAATTTCAACATAAGTACAATTTACAAATATAATACATTAAAAAAATTATGTATAGGGCAGCACCTATGGCTCAAAGGAGTAGGGCACCTGGCCACCTGGGCGACCTTGCCCAGGAGGGGAGTAGGGAGTTTACATTAGTCTTTTCATTTCCAAATGAAGTTACATTAACCTTTTCAGCAGCCGAAAAACCGTATATTCCCTTCCTGTTGTCCTGCCTTTCCCTAGCTTGTTGCGCATTCTTTCCAAAAATCGGGACTTTTTAAAAATGCCATGGGACGCGGGACAAGTTGTTAAAAATCAGGACTGATCTGCCAAAAGCGGGACATCTAGTCACCTTACCTTTCAGCCACAAGCGCCACCCCCTCCATCAGTTTTTAAACTAATTATGTATTGTGCAATAATTCAACTTTTCATTAATTGGATAGTACCATATTACTATTTAAGAATACCCAATAAACCATTTTACCTCTTTCTCCACAAATTATCCAAACATGCTTAGGTTAACGCTGGTTCTGAATTTCCTGTAACCTTATAGACTGTATCAATCACACTAGGTTTACAACAGTCTTCATTCCTAAAATGGGTCCAGATCAATAGATGATATAATTGCCCCAGTATAAAAATCAGAGTGACCAGATTCAAATGATGTCATGGCTATGGTTCAAATCTTACCTTTGGTCTCAATAATGTTGATGCATTTCCTAACAAACTTGAAACCTACATCATTCAGCTCCACTGTTTCAAGTAAAGGAAAACAGAGTTAGATAGTTCTACAATATGTGTCATACATCAAACATTTAATGATCATATTATAATACTACAGTGAGAGAGCTAAGGGACTACTGTGAGACTAAAGCTGATCATTTCTAATCACCTTTAGTTTTAACTCACATAACACAAAATACTTTTATTTAGTTCTTTGCATTATGTCAGCTTTATGTAAGAAAAACATGAAATGTGAAATGTTACCCTGGAAATGTGCACAATTTGTATCAAGTATCCAGAAGATGAAATGTATAATGTGTCCCTCTATATTATCACAGAAATAGCTTATGATGAAGAGTCTTCTTTAGTTTCGTTAACAGATATGCTTAAAAAAATAGGGCTGATTTTCATTTCATATACAGGCACCTGCATGCAGGATTGCATAAATAATACACATCATTACTTGCCAGCATTTACAATAATTAGGACAGCTAGCACCTGATAACAAACAGTAGTAGACCAAAAACTAGAATGACTCACTTTCTTCTTGTTTTGTTATCGGACTGTGATAGATCTACAAAAGAAAAACAGAGACACACTTTTGGGGGGCAAGTCACAATTATATGAGGGACTTTAACTAACAAATACAATCAGTGTAACCTGGTTTCTTGTACCCTCAATAAATCCCACCAATAAAAAAAAGAAAGAAAAAATCATGGCAATTGTGAATTACTTTAGGTAAGTAGGCAAAGAACATTAAAACTTTTTAGAAAGATTGACCATATAAATCATTAGAGACACCAAGGCTTTTAAGAAGAAAGAAAAGTAGGCTAAACAGAATCATTTTTGCTCATATTCCTAGGAAACAATAAAAGAATTCCTAAAACTTTCCCTAGATTTCTACAGTTCACTGTACCTAAAGTTGTACCCAATCCATAATAGACATTGACTTATGTGAAGCTTGAAGAATTTTTATGATGAAGCAAGAGGTACATAAGAGATAGGAAGTGTTTTTCTCATGGATACCTGACTAATGGGCATTAATAGTAAAATGTAAATGTTCCCTTCACCAATCTCCCATCACTAGTTAATGGATGTGTCTCTGTGGAAAGGCAAGTGACCATCTGAAAGAGATGCATGTACTTACCAAGACTCTCTTGCCTGTCTTGAAGTATGTATTGTGTTAATGATATGAGACACCAGACAGAAGATTATTTAGTCTTGAAGTCCAGTACTGGAACTACCGCAATTATATTAGAAAATCTTAGGCAAACCATTTCTATAGATTTCAAAATTTCTGTCAATAAAGTGATGAGGATTGGCTCAGTGCCTGCAGCTCAGCAGCTAGGGGGCCAGCCATATACACAGGAGCTGGCAGGTTGGAATCCAGCCAAGGCCTGCAATGACAACTACGACCAAAAAAAAAAAAAAAAAAAGGCTGGGCATTGTGGCAGGTGCCTGTAGTCCCAGCTACTCAGGAGGCTGAGGCAAGATAATTGCTTAAGCCTAAGAGTTAGAGGTTACTGTGAGCTGTGACGCCACGACATTCTACCCAGGGTGACATAGTGAGACTGTGCTTCAAAAAAAAAAAAAAAAGGGATCAGGATTAGACTAGATATTTTTTCAAGGACCGATCTTCTTTGACAGTTTAACCCAAGGCATGCCCATGATGTGTAAAGCTAGTGGACTGCGGTGTTTACTAAAGCAGCGATATGAGCAAAATAAGGCTGCAGGAAATAAGTGCTCTTTGTGCCATATGTTAGAGTCAGTTTCAGCTTCTTTTTTTTTTTTTGAGACAGAGCCTCAAGCTGTCCCCCTGGGTAGAGTGCCGTGGCATTACAGCTCACAGCAACTTCCAACTCCTGGGCTCAAGCGAGTCTCCTGCCTCCGCCTCCCAAGTAGCTCGGACCACCCGCGCCCGCCACAACGCCCGGCTATTTTTTGGTTGCTGCCGTCATTGTTGTTTGGCGGGTCTGGGCTGGGGATTCGAACCCGCCACCTTAGGTGTACATGGCTGGCGCCTTAGAGTCAGTTTCAACAGTGCCTCTTTTTCATAAAATAAATTCTACATTTGTGTATACCCATGGACATTTCAGTGAGAGAGATTTCTTGACTGACTAGCCTTGCTGTCACTTTTATAAACAAGATATTTACGAAAAGTCTGCCATGAACAAGTTGTTGTGGATCCACATTCAATGGGCCGATGTGCTAACATCCTTCTACACAAATAGCTATCTGCACCTTTTGATGTTTAAAAACCTAAAGCAAGAGTAAACGTGAATGAGTCAACAGATAAATGTATAGCTGAGCCCACTGAAATACTTCTAGAGTAACATCTCAGGCATGTATGTTAAGCAACAGGTTTCTGGAAGGTGACAGAGGAAAGATCCTAGCCTACTTTCTAGATGGCAGTCTTTACAACAACACTTCTCTCCTGTTATGTTCAAGGTTGCTATAAATGTAATCCAAGATCTGGTTACTTCTCTTCAGTCTACATAGGATACTGAGGTCACACAGAAAGAAAAACCATGAATGCATTATCCCTCATAGTCAGTGGGATGAAATGTTAGCACTTACAGTCACTAAGACTGTATCCAAAATACTACTGGATTTTAGTAGTTTTGCACCCATCCTTCAGCTCAGTTACAAGCACCTAAAATTCTTAAGAGAACAAATTATGGCTTTCATCTGGTTTTTCAAAGTGATCCTGTGAGGTAGAACAGCCATTCTATTGAAGGAAAGATAACTGAGTCACAGAAAAGTTCTTAAAAAAAAAAGAACTTGATCAAGGTCATACAACTATTCAGTATCTAAATCTAAATCCAGGCTTTTGGAATTCCAACATCAGGAAGCTAATATTATTCCACATGGCACTAAAAAATGTCCTAGGATAATACTGAAGAAAGAATGTTTTCCAAAGATTTCTGACTGTTCATACTGGACTCTAGATGATAATCACTAACTCATTTAAAGGACTACATATGATACTGTACAACAGCTTCCAAAATAGAGTGGTGCATTTTGAGTTACCAATGGCAATGAATGTCATCTCCTCTATCAGCTGTACTGTTAAAGAGAATGAGTTGAGTTAGAGATTTAAAAAGAGGGAGCAGAAAAATCAGTATGATTAAAATCTTAATTACTTATTCAAAATAATAGCAATTGTTTTCTATCTTTCTATTATAGATGAACACATATTCAATTTATAATACAAAAAGGCTTGATTTTATTTAAGAAAATCTTCTAGGAATACTGATATAGTCTAAATCTACAGCAGGTTGCTGAGAGATTTGCATTCTATGAGAGAGAAAGCAGCTTTGATGCTTTCTCTGTGAGTGATCTTACTAAGTCCATCACCCTCACTAGAACTAAAGTACTTTACTAGAAACACGGAAGCAACAATTCCTTCCAGCTCTTTAAAGCTTTGGGTATGAATAATCTATTACAATTTAATTGTTTTAGACCCAGTGAAGCCACTAGACAATATTCACACATAGTAATTGGCCTTTGCTGGAAGGTATCCCCAGGGTCAGGTAACTTACAGGTTCTTTCCCATCCATGGCTTCCATCCATAGCCTTCTATTAGCTTCTGAAAGGGCCTGCAGAGTGATGGTTCCTGGTCTAAGAAAAAAATAAAGACAAGCTTAAAGCAAAAAAACTCACTTAGGAGGAGGGAGTCTTACAATCCAGGGTCCTTCTCTCCTTCATCCCACTTAGCAGTCACAGCCCTAAGGAATATAAATTTCCCAAAATCACTTTTTTTCTTGGAATAATATGGATTATTTAGGAAAGAATAACACTGGGAACCCTAGAGGAGATGATATCTTCATGGCCTAGCCTAGTGCCAGGGTCAGGGAAGGAATAAGATAGCAAATGTCAAGACACGATGCATATCTAAATGGGCCTCACTAAGTTTCAGTCAAACTGAGGCCCTTCCTTCCTCCATTCTTGGAAACCAGCTACAAAGAGTGAGCATGGGCTGGGCGCAGTGGCTCACACCTGTAATCCCAGCACTTTGGGAGGCTGAGGCGGGTGGATCACCTGAGCTCACAAGTTCGAGACCAGCTCTGAGCTGGAGTGAAACCTGTCTCTAAAAATATCCAGGCATTGTGGTGCGTGCCTGTATTCCCAGCTACTGGGGAGGCTGAGACAAGAGAATCACTTGAGCCCAAGAGTTTAAGGTTGCTGTGAGCTATGACACGATGGCACTCTCCGGGGGGGACAAAGTGAGACTCTGTCTCAAAAACCAAAACAAAACAAAGAGTGAGGAGCAGGTACACCAGGGGCACATTCATCAGTCAGGAAAGTGACTTTACTGCTTCTACCATGTAGGATGTCCAAGAAGCATTTTCAACTGGAAAGAACTCAACAACACTCAGACTGGCTAAGTCACAGGGAGGAGGCTTTCTGGCTTACAAGTAATCCTATGACTAATAACAACAATGAATATTTATTAAATGCATATTAGGTTTCAGATTCTGTTCTAAGTACTTTACAATTGTTAACACTATTAATCAATGTAACAATTGTATGAAGCAGTTACTAGAGTAATCATCCCTAATTCACAAAGGGGGAAACACAGAGACCAGAATACCCAAAGTCACTTAGTGGGAAAGTGGTAGAGGCATGATTTAAATCCATGAAGTCTGAGCCAGGAGCCATATTTTTAAACACTAAACTATAGGGACTCTTTTGCGTGGGAAATAAGTTTCAAACACAATTTTATTCTATTTTCCTACAGGATACCTGATAAGGTTTATGTATTGTCTAAATTTATATGTTAAAACTTAATTGCCAAAGTACGAATAGTAAAAGGTAGGGCCTTTAGGAGCTGATTGAGTCATAAGGATGACCCTCATGGATGGGATTAGGCCCCTTTTAAAATAACTTGATAGAGTGGATTTGTTCTCTTCTACTCCCATTATATAAGGAAATGATGTTTATCTTCTCCAGGGAATAAGCAGCAAAGCATCATATGTGAAGAAGAGATGAGACCCAGATGCTAAACATGCCAGTGCCTTAATTGTGGGCTTCTAGCTTCTAGAACAGTGAGAAATACATTTCTGTTGTTTATATAATAACAAAACTCAGTTATTTTGTTATAGTTGGACAAAAGAGCTAACACACTACCTATATGTCCTGATACCACAAATTGATATACACTTGATGGTTATTTATAAACCTAACACAAATCCATTGCCCTCCCTGAAGTCAGAGTCACTCATCTGGAACAAAACAACTAAACTGGAAATTTAAGATTAACCATACCATTGCAAGCATAGACTCTATTTGCATTCTCTGGCTTGCTGTGCCATTAGGAAAACTTTGTTCCTCTTACTCCTTCTATGATAAGATGAAATTTGTCCCACAGTCATAAAATGGTAACGGCAATGGCAAGAGACTTCACAAAATCCAGGATAAGTCAATGCACCTCTCTGTACCTATGTTTCCTCATCTGGAAGGGTGTTGAAACATAAGCTATAAAGACCTTTCCATTACTGATATCTCGTACTTCATAAAAATATCTCTTAAACAAAAAGCCCGCAAATGGTCTTTAAGCCAGAATCCACTGAACACCAGGACATGGCAAAGGGTACTGCATTCTATGAAGTTCACCTTTCATTAACAAATACCCATCCTTTTGGATATATCTAATGGGGCTATAAAGTCTAGGAATCTTTGTAAAGACAGCTTCCCAACTGAATGATGAAAACAGAAATAAAGAGAGCAGGAATGTGTACAACAGACAAAAAAGGAAACACCTAACACCAAATAATGCTATTAACCCCTTTATGGAACTCAGCTTTCCCATTAGGAAAATGGAAGACCTGCTATGTGCTCTGTTGACCTTACAGAGAGGCAAAGGATAAGCTAGTGACTATTCAGGAAGCATTTGGAGATTTTTAGTTACTATAGAAAGTCAAATTCAAAGAATAAAATTTATAGCAACAGGATGATAAAATGTAAAAAGTATTAACTTCTAGTCGAGGGTTCTTTACTAATTATCTTTATGACCTAACACATATCCATTGCCCTCCCTGAACTCAGAGTCACTCATCTGGAACAAAAAAAGCATGTAGCAAAAAGGTATGTATAGCATATCAGCAGTAGAGGGCAGTAGAGTGTAGCCTTGATGATGAGCATGCCTAGATTTAGAAACCATTTCTCCCACTTACTACCTGTGTAGTCTAAGTTCCTTAATTTTTCTCTGCCTCCTTGTCTATATTTGTGAAATGAGGACAATAACAGCACCTCCCTCATGTGACTACAGAGAGGACTAAAGGTAATTATACATTTAGAGGGCCAAGAACAGAGCTTGACACACAGGAAATAACTTGGCAAATGTTAGCACTTGTGGTTATTACTACTACTACTACTGTTGTTGTTACCCTTCAAGCTATCATGTGCTGAGTGCATGGTTTCAAATACTTGTAGGAATCTAAATCTTAATAATGTTATTGTCTCTTCTTGAAATGGAAAAAGAGAATCAAAGGGCCCTTTGCTCTGTGATCCATAAAACATGGGCACAGGGAGCGGAGCCAAGATGGCGAACTGCAGCCAGCTTTTTACAGAAGCTCCCGTC